TCACTGACCAGTGACCCCTGGATTAGAGAGGAGGGATATCAGCCAGAGATCCTGCTCCTGATCAGCGACCCCCCGATCACAATGTGTGCTGTTCAGATTCAGCAGTGATGCCTCTCATGGTCAGCTAGCCCACTGATGCTCACTATCTGGGATCTGATGTTCTTCTTCTGGAGGTACCTGAATCTCAACATTTTAGCATCTTCAGGGCAAGGGGAAAGTAAGATTATGTCTCCTAGACTTGAGCAACTTATTGTTTATCCCTCCTCTCTCTCTTTCTCCAGGAAATGGACAAAATGGACCAGCTGCAGAGTAAGCTTCACACGTACAGCATGTTCGGGCTACCCAAGCTGCCAGCACAACTACGGTTCGACCAGGACTCCTGGGAAGAGGAAGAGACCAGCTTGTACCTTGAATGTTCATGGCAGGAAATCATTGAGGCTCCTGAGGTAAATCTGTCACTGGATCAGGCAAGACTGGAGCTAGGCCCCTTGGGATACTGGCAGAGTGAATGTGAAATCAAACCTCAAAGGTCTTTAACACTGAGAGTTATCCCTTACACTTTACAAATGTACCTCCCACAAGCCCCCTTGGATCTGTCCTCCCAGTGACCATTCTTCCTGTGTGACCCCAGTGAGTGTCAACAGGACATTTGACTGGGAAACCATCGCACAGTAACATCTGATTCTGGTCTCGCCTATGCGTGTACATATGCCATCTAGTCGAGGTCACTGGATGGTACCTGGGAAAGGGCCTCTTGACCAGTACAAGGTACTGAGGCCAGATTTTAAATGATATCTGCAAAGTTTGTACCAGCAACATGTGAATGAATCCTGTCACAATGGTCTGTCCACTCAGTTTAACAACTTCTAAAGGTAAAATTAATTATGGCGAACTGCTTAAAAATGTTCTTTGAATGTGCATTTACTAATTTGTTTAGTAATTATCATGATTCACTGGATTTCTGTGATATAAATATTTCACTAACAAAATTATATTTTCTACTATCTTTGCCTTAATGTGATTTTTTTTGTGCATTTGTTAGATTTTTCTGGCCTTTGATTCAAAGCTTGTTGTGGCGAGGTCTTGTTACAAAATAGTGTTTCACTCCTGTTTTTGACAGAGTCCATTCTGTTTAAGAAAAGCCACTTCCTGCTAGGTTTGTACTGTCAGATTCAAGCCTCTCCAGAGATCAATTGGATTTGAGTTAATTACAGATTAAAATCGCTTCCTCTTTAAACTTTATCGCAATGTTCAGCATCATTCGCAACTTCTCAGATACTGAAGTTTGGGCTGACAAGTGGCAAGTAACATTCACACCACACAGATGCCAGGCAATGCCCATCTCCAATAAGAGATAATCTGATCACCTCCCCTTGACATTCAATGGTGTTACCATCACTGATTTCCACCCCCCACCCCATTAACATCCTTGGGGTTACCATGGCCCAGAAACTCAACTGGACTCACCACATTAACATGGTGGCTATTAGAACAAGCTAAGACTACTGTAGTGAGTAACTCACCTCCTTACTTCCCAAAGTCTGTCCACTATCTACAAGCCAAAAGTCAGGAGTGAGATAGAATACTCCTGGTCAAGTACAGCTCCAACAACACTCAAGAAGCTTGACACCGTCCAGGGCAAAGCAGCTCACCTGATCAGCACCACATCCGCAAGCATCCACCACCGACACTCAGTAGCAGCAGTGTGTACTATTTCCAACATGCACTGCAGAAATTCACCAAAGACCCTCAGATAGCACCTTCCAAACCCACAATCAATTCCAACTAGAAGGACAAGGGCAGCTGGTACATGGGAACACCACCACCTGCAAGTTCCCCTCCAAGCCACTCACCATCCTGACTTGGAAATATATCGCCGTTCCTTCACTGTCACTGGGTCAAAATCCTGGAATTCCCTCCCTAATGGCATTGTGGGTCACCCCACAGCAGGAGGACTGCAGCCAATCAAGAAGGCAGCTCACCAGCACCTTCTCAAGGGCAACTAGGGATGGGCAAGAAATGCTGGCCCAGGCAGTAATGCCCACATCCCACGAATTAACAAAATAAAACATTTTGAATTTCTCCATTTTGTAATTCAGGTGGTGACTGACATGATGACTCAGCGACTCACTGACCTCGCTTTTCTTCCATCTGTTCCTAGGGGAAACAGATTAAGTGCAAAGCTTCAGTCTTCCAGATGACGTATTATCCTCATTTCCTTCAATATCCTGTTCCCCAGATTACATTAAAGACCTACCATGCAGTTAACTCTCCTTCCACTGACATTCTCACACTACCTCACCTCTCCCCTACTCCCTCCACCGCCCCAATTATTTCCTCCATTGCTCCCCCTTCCAATAGCTAGGATACAAATCCAATGGTCACCAATTCTCCCCTGGATGTAGCTCCCAAAGACATTGACTATCCTAAGAGTACAGTCCCTGAGAAATGTGGACTTACCTTAGGGTGCAGTCTCATAGACACTGACTCTAACTGGGGTATAGGTCCCATAGACACTGACTCTCACTGGGATAAGGTCCCATAGACACTGACTCTCACTGGGGTATAGGTCCCATAGACACTGACTCTCACTGGGGTATAGGTCCCACACACATTGAGTTTCAGTGGGATATATAGGTCCCATACACACTGACTCTCACTGGGGTATAGGTCCCATAGACACTGACTCTCACTGGGGTATAGGTCCCACACACATTGAGTTTCAGTGGGATATGGGTCCCATACACACTGACTCTCCCTGGGCACTGGCTCTCCCTAGAGTACAGTTGGTTAGATGTTGACTCTCCTGGAAGTCTAGGTTCCCTGGGCATTATCCATGGGTGCGCGTGTATAGTGGGAACCAAACGTTCAGTCAGTTATCACTCAGTTATCCAATTTGCTGACACAACAGAAACTCACCCTGGGAAGAAACCTTTCATCTGCACCATGTGTGGGAAAGAACTTGCACATTCATCTACCCTGCTGACACATTAAAGAGGTCACAGTGAGAGGAGAGCTTTGAAGTACCCACTGATACCTCAACATATGCAACCCGTTGATTTTCCATCATGAGGGCATGGATAATTCAAACTCAGGAGTCGTGGCCAATTCTGCCAGGCGCACTCTCTCCTTAATTCAGAGGCTCTCAGCCCAAGTTGTTCACCTGCCTTTTCTCTGCCATATCAGCCCCTTGCTTGCTGTTTATGGAGGGACACAGGGTGTGGGACCATACAGCGAGAGACAGAAGAGGAATCAGGTTCATAAAAACATAAAATTCTGGCAATACTTGAGTACGTCAGGCAGCACCCGTGAAGAGAGAAATAAAGTTTGTATTTCAGATCAATGACTGTTCACCAGAACTGGTAAAGAATCATAGAATCCCTACAGTGTGAAAACAGGCCCTTTGGCCCAACAAGTCCACACCAACCCTCAGAGCATCCCACCCAGACCCATCCCCCTATAACCCAACTAATCTACACATCCCTGAACACTATGGACAATTTAGCATGGCCAATCCACCTAACCTGCACAGCTTTGGACTATGGGAGGAAACCAGAACACCCAGAGGAAACCCACGCAGACACAGGGAGAATATGCAAACTCCACACAGACAGTTGTCCGAGGGTGGAATCAAACTTGGGCCCCTGGCACTGTCGTGCTAACCACTGAGCCACCGTGCTGCCCTAAGGGTTGAGATATCTTATGCTTCAAACAAGGGAAAGGGAATGAAGAGAAAGGAAAGTGTGTAATAAAGTGGAGGGAAGTGCAAGTTTGACCAGGAAGAGAATTGAGGGTTACAGGAAAAATGCAGAAAAAGTGGACATGAGCAATATCAGGTTAGCCATGATCCTATTGAATGGTGGAATCAAGTGGCGGAATGGCCTACTTCCCTTCCTATTTCTTATGGTCTCATGGTAATTAGGTGACAAAAGAGCTGATTGTGAAAAGCAAAAGTGGGTGAGACAAGAAATAAAAGATGGGTCCAGAGGAAGTGGAAATGGCAACAGCAAAGTCATTACCAGGAAATGTTATCTGAGATGATGAACACAGTGATTACAGTCTGAAATTAATGAATTCAGTGTTGAGTTCAAAAGGGAGTAAAGTGAATTCATAAATGAGAGTTGTTCCTCAAGAAAGGATATGGGAGCGTGGGTATTTGGACAAAATGGGACTAAAGAAATGGACAAGTCCAGGTATGATGGGGAGAGTGGGTTTACAAGGTTATTTATCAGGGGACCTCGGGAATTGTGGTGGTATTTATAGGGACATGTCCAGTTATGTTGTGTTATTTTGTCAGGGATCCTGAGTTTGAGAGTGATGTGTCGGGGAGAGCCGGGGTATGTGGAGGGAGACCAACTGGGCAGCAGTATTGATGGATGGAGCCTGATTATAGAGGTATTTAGGGGATTTTAATAGAAGGAGCCTGATTATGAGGTTGGTATTAATGGGAGCAGACTAGGAAAACTGATGTCCTGCATTGATACCTTCTGTAACCAAGCTCCCTCCACACCCAAATAAACCTCTCATACCCAAGCTCCTCCGAGTAACATCCCCATGTGCCAGGAAAATGCAGGTAGCTAGCAGTCATGGGGGATATTTAGAAAAGGGAGCTTAGGTTGCTTGGGCACTGTGATTTCACCACCTTCCTGTGTTTCCTTCTCTCGAACAGAAACTGACTCGGAAGCAATGCCATCAACAGGAGGCCCTCTGGGAGCTGCTGAACACAGAGGTTGCCTACATGAAGAAGCTGCGTGTTATCACGGATGTGAGTGTCTGTCCTGCCCTCCCATTGGCACACGGGTAGAGTACCCCAGGGGTCTGTGGGTAATGATGTGAAACTGCCTGATTCTGTAAAATTACTGTTGTCAGCCATTACTCAGCCTCTTGTCCATATTCTCCCATTGTAAATGGTATGGGGTTGTGCTTATGTTCCTAACTGGACAGATCATCTCTTCGTGATCTATCCATCTACCTCATACCACAAAAAGCACATCATCAATGGTCTGTTTGGGTGAAACTCCCAATTCAATCAAAAGCTCGTCTTTTTCAATTTTTTAATGTATTATTTCAATGGAAGTGGTTGTCATTGCAAAGCCAGTACTTGTTGCCTGTACCTTAATATCCCTTCAGCAGAGGGTCTTACGAGACTATGTCAGAGGGCAGTTAAGAATCATCAACGTTTCTTTGGGTCTAGAGTCGCATGATAGCAGAGAAACTCAGGTCATATTTACTCCTGAAGGTGCTGACTCTCCCTGGGGTACAGCTCCCCCTCCCCTCCTGAAGGTGCTGACTCTCCCTGGGGTACAGCTCTCCCTCCTCTCCCAAAGGTGCTGATTCTCCCTGGTGTACAGCTCCCCCTCTCCTCCTGAAGGTGCTGACTCTCCCTGGGATTCACTAATTTCCCATTCACCAGTCCATCAATATGAATGATTTTTGCATGAGGTTACCTGTGAGCTCAGTGCTGGCCTGAACTGGATGTCATTGCTTGGACAGTGCATGTTTCTCACTTTGAGTGTCCTCACTTCTAGCTCTTCCTGTGCTGCCTGATAAATCTGCAAGAATCGGGTCTGCTGACCGAGGTGAGGCTGACTTCTTTCACGTTGATCAAACCAAAAAGTTCATCACTTTTGTTGATAGTGAGCAATGTATATGGAGCAAGATCAACTTCCCAGGATCCAACATTTCCTGGAAATGTAGCTAAACCCTGGTATTGCCTATACTCTGGCCCCGGTTATTGCCAGTATTCCATCCCTAGATATTGTGTGTACATAGGTGTTTATGTTTGCCTGTGTACAAGGTCTGGTTATTATCATTGCATAGCCCTAATGTTTGCTTGTATATAGGCTTTGGTGTTTGTCTGTATACTAATGCTGGCATGTGCCAGTACACTGGGCCTGATGTTTGCTTGTTCATAGGCTCTGATGTTTGACTCTATTGATCCTGGTGTTGGCCTGTACACTGACCCTTGGTGTTTGCCTGTACATCGACCTTGGTGTTTGCCTGTTCACTTGTTGGTGGTTACCTGTACTCTGGCCCTGGTTATCGTCTGTATGCAGACTCTAGTGATTGTCTGTACACAGATGTGAGCATTTGATCATTGAAGGTGAAATACTGAGGACTAACTTTACCCATGGTGCCATGCAGGTGGAGCCGAAGAAACTGTTCTGTAACGTGCAGGAGATTATCCAACTGCACCAGAAGCTGTGGCAAGAGGTGATGACTCCAATGTTGCAAGCATCCAGGGAAAGCAAAGCATTACTCAACCCCATCTTTTTGCACAAGGGATTCAAGACAGTAAGTCACATGTGACATACAGGCTGAGGGCAGATGGTAGGGCTGGGCTGGTGCAGTTAGATGTGTTCAATACTCATCAGGAGCTGATGTTACATCTGCTGGATTATGGTGAGCAATAAGGTGCAGTTTACCGTGTGCCTCTCAAAGTGTCTCGATGCTGGTGGGACAAGCCATTGCTAAGCTACTGTGTACCTACAATTCTACATCCCACCATCTGAGACAGGCACAAGCTACAGCAATACACCATCTGTTGGTGTGACAGTATTTGCTGCCTGGCCTTCTTGCTGTCAACATGGACAATGCAGTGCTGTAGGTGAAGGCCAATAATGAGGGTTCTGTAGAGAAGGAGGACAGTGGGATTGAAGAGAAATGGGAAAACCCATTACTCATGGAACCACGGTGACCTTCCATGTGCAAAAGCCCAGAAGCTGCGCATTTTAATCAACTCTAAATTTCTCTCTGAGATTAGTCTCAACATCAAAACTAGGCCCCAGTTAGCCAAACCTAATGGGAATCTCCTTGTTTAGTTATAAGTTGCACAAATAGCGCACATTGTTAGCTCTCACATGCTAGACAACCTCTGTATTAATTATTTGTTTTTTTCCCTTCACTCTTCACAGTTTGGTGTGCACTTTAAGCCTTATATCCAATACTGCATGGAGGAGGAGAGCTGCATGGAGTACATGAGAAACCTTCTCCGTGACAACGAACTCTTCAGGGTCTATATAACGGTCAGTGTCATCCAGCAACCTCTCCCTACTCCAAGTGATAGGATAGGGAGCGGACGGGGAGGGTTTCACAGATTTGCTGTCGAGACTACAGAAAGAGGTAGTATCCAGAGACAGACAGGTTAACAGAGTAGCACTGAGAGAGAGGCTGTGTGCTCCCCCTGTCTAATTACTTTTGTGTTCATTTGCAGTGGGCAGAGACTCATAAACAGTGTAACCGCCTCAAGCTCAGTGACATGTTGGTAAAACCTCATCAACGACTCACCAAGTACCCGCTGCTTCTCAAGTCTATCCTCAAAAAAACCGACGATTCTCACGCCAGGGATGTCATCGTTTGCATGGTACGTACACCTTGTGGTCACAGTCACTGGCACCCAGTTGATCCCACTCATGCTGTTGGCCACAGTCAGCCACACAGTCACACTCATTCACTCATGATCGTTATCACATGATGTACACGCTTCATTCTATTGGTTTCACTCATGGTGTCATTTTTGCTCACACTGTTTGTCGGATCCATGCTCTAGGTCATGCTCTGCCTATCAGTCATGCTTACCATTGCCCTCCAGTACTCACTCCTTTGATCATTGTCTCGCTCTGTCATGCCTTCACCCATGGTCACATTGCCAATCATAGTCCTGCTGTGGTACATGGATACTAGCTTGGATCCAGTCTTGTCTCTATAGATGTTAATTCTTATCTATCCATGGTAGCTGGTATTTGACTTGGTCGAACACCCTGAGCCCATCCAATGGCTCTGAGGCCTGTGATTCATTTGGGCTGTCTCTTTGGACCTTAACTCAAATCATTCTTTCATCTCCAGGTCAGTTCCGTTGAGAATTTTATCGCGCATGTGAATTCCCGAATGCATCAACGGCAGGAGCAACAGAAACTGGCAGAGATTATCAATCGTATTGATTCTTATGAGGTGGTGGACGGGAGCTCAGATGAAGTGGAGAAGGTAAGCGAGGCAGTTGGCAGGAAATTGAAGCACAGAGAGGTGAGAGAGAGAGTGATGAAAACAGGGGGACATAGAGAAATACTGAGGCACGAGAGAGAATGAGCCATGGGGAGGTGAAACCTTTATATATTTCATGAAGCAAGTTACCCTTCCCTTATGCCAAGGTTAAAGGTCAGAGTAAACCATCCTTTCCCATAACTTAGTACAGGACTAAGTCTGGTTTATCATTAAAAAGTCAGAATAGGAGCAGATCTCAAGCTTCAACCAGCCTTGTCAGAGTCCTATTCTGTTGCCTCCTTATATTCTTTCTTCAGCTTACAGTGAAAAACATACAATGATAATTTTGTAATTCACAATTTCCCTAGTATTAAAATGGCTGAATACAGGCCCCATTGATCCCCTTAGCTATCTCTAGTATTGAAAGGATACTTTACTGATTTTTTAATTGGTACTTGGGAATTGGGCTTCACTTGTTTGGCTGGCGTTTATTGCCCACTCCTTGTTGTCTTTGGGGAAGTTAGTGGTGAGCTGTCCTCTTGAATCACTGCAATCCTTGGAGTGTATGGACTCACACAATGCTGTTAGGAAGCAGTTCCAAGATTTTGATCCAGACTTAATAAAGTCACGGTGATTTAGTTTGAAGCCAGGATGGGTTGTGATTTGGTGAGGAATTTGCAGGTGATAGTGTTCCCCTGTATCTCCTACCCTTGTCCTTCTGATATTACAGGTTATGGGCTTGGAAGGCACAGTCAATGGAGCATTGGTGAGGTGCTGCAGTGCATCTTGTAGGTGTTACACACTGCAAGACTGTGCATTGCTGAGAAAGATGGGATGGCAGTCAAGTCAGCTGCTCTGCCCTGGATGGTACCAAGCTTCTTGAGTGTTGTTGGAACAGCACTCATCCAGACCAGTGGAGAGTATTCCACCACTCTCTTGACTTGTGCCTCATAGGTGGACAGACATTGGGGAAAAAGGGACAGAGTTATGTGCTGCAGAATCTTGAGCTCCACTTTGTAGCCACAGTACATTTATGATTGGTCTAGTTCAGTGTCTGGTTAATGGTAACCCCCAAGATGTTGATAGTGGGGGAATTCAGCAATTGTAGCGCCATCATGGAGCGATGGTTGGCGTTTCTCTTGGTGGAGATGGTCATTGACTGGCAGAGTTCAGGGGCATGGTGTTCCGCGATCAGTACAAGGATCTGTATTGTTCACCATTTGCATAAATGATTTAGACTTGGGAGTTGAAAGTCCAATATCAACATTACAGAATCATACAAAAGTTGGGCAATTCTGAGAACTAGAACAATACACAAGGTGATAGGTGCAGCTATTGCCAAATGAATTTGAATGTTAGATAAGTGTGAGGGAGTTCAGTTCGGTAGATAGCATCAGGAGGCCACTTACTTCTTGAAAAGACTAAGTATCTAAATAGGGTAGTGAAGCAGATAAATTCAGAGATACAGATGCACAAACCAGACCTCAAAATTCGTGGGGATGGCATGCACACCCACCTCCAGAATCCCCAAATTATACAGACGATCTGCTCACAGAGTGACCAGTCAGAGAATAGTCATCCTCATAATTAGAATAGAAGAAAATGGTGTAGAGCTGCTCACATAAGTTAATAATGAGCCTGTCAGCACCAAAGGTGGGAGACAACCAGCCTGTGATTAGAGGAACAAGGTGAGTGGCAGTACAGACAAAACAGGGGCCAGAATAGGAAGCAAGGCTGTCAGACAGGGGAGCAAGGCCAAAGGCTGGGGAGTCTGGCCTGGGACCTGTGGGTTCAAAGAGGCTGCAAAGTCGATAGAGGAGAGCTGCAGAGGGGGAAATGATTGGGGAACAGAGCTGTGGATGAGGAAGGGGACAGGTAGAAGTGCTGTGGAGTGGGGAAAAGGCACTGCACAAGGGTAGGGGTAAAGTGCTGCGATGTGAGGGCAAGGTCGAAGAGTTGCAAAATGAAAAAAGGAAGAAGCAGCATAGGAGGGGTGACGGTTTATAAAGTCAGGAGAGGGGCTAGAAAGGGTATTGAGGGTTTGAAATGTGGTATGTGGGGCTGCAAATGATAGGAAGGTTCTGAAAGAGGAGTGATGGACTACAATAGGGAAAACCAATTTTAAAATTTCAATTCAGAAGTATTTAGCTAACTGGGTACAAGAAGACTGAGATAATGATTTCCTTGCAAATTGATGTGGAGTCTCCAGGTTAAAGTTGCAGAAGTTTAGGAGCTATTATATGGGAGAAAATGACTTAGATGTAATTGTGATGAACACTGTGTCAATTGTATAATTTAATGTTCATTAAATATATTCAATAAAGATTTGCATTCATGAATTAGCACATCTCAAAGTGATTTGCATTTTATGAATTATTTGAAGTGCAGTGACTGTTTGAGGGAAACATAACGGTTTAGCTACGATTCCATCAATCTGCAGATAGCATGTGTAGGCAATGGATTTTTGTGCATTACAGTGTGTCTGACTTTTTTTTCAAAAAAGCATTTATTGCTAACTTATGCCTGTTGTCTTTTGTTGATTTAAATACTGTAGTGTCTATGAGATTAGTGTCTTCTTTGAGTGTTTAGGCTTTATGTTTAAGGAGCAGTGATGATTGTTAGGGACATTGAGGAATACTTCTAATTCTGTTTTTCCAAGTGTCCAAATCACCCATATGTCAACACAAGTGCAGGGGCACTGTTACTAAATGACTGCATCTCCTCATGACAGAGTTAGACATTGAAAAAGGATCCCTGAAAATCAAAACGTAGCCCTCAAATCTCAAGAGAAGCCCTTGCAACAAATATATACAGTGAGTCCTTTTAATATCCATTAATCTACTGAAATATTAGGCACTTCTGAGAGAATATGATGACATTGCAGGATAGCCCAGAAATTCTGCTGTGAATGTGTGTAGACTGCCCAGGTTCTAATATATCATGCGAGCAGTGGTCACAAGTCCGTCAGAGTCTTTGTCATCTTTGTCAGTAAAGCAGCCAGGTTCTAACAGGGCTTTTTGCTGCGTTAGGTTCTGAAGGAGTTCTGTCACTTGGACCTGATGGCTCCGATGCTCGGGACTTCACCTGACGATACTCGGCAACTGCTGCTCGAGGGAAGCCTGAGAATGAAAGAAGGAAAAGACAGTAAGGTGAGCCAACACTTGAGAGAATCTGAGGGGATAAGAGTATTGGAGGGACTTGGGTGAGTCTATGGTCAAAGTGCTTGGCCACAAATTGTCCTTTCAACCATCTCCCCTTGGTTGCTGTGTCTAGTGTTTATTGTCTGAATGCTGAATTGCTGGCTGCTCTCAGTGTTCACTGCGTACGAGAAGTTCCACAGCAGTGCTTTGTTTTTTTGGTCTCTGGGTTTCTCAACGTTCAGTCACTGGGTTTCTCAATGTCCAATTTCTCTCAGTCTCTGGGTTTCTTGGTTCAGTTTTCAGTCTCTGGGTTTCTTGGTTCAGTTTCTCGGTCTCTGGGCTTCTCACTGTCCTATATTTTGGTTCTCTACATTTATCAATGTCCAATTTCTTGGACTCTGGGTTTGTTGGTCTAATTTCTCAGCCCTCGGTTTCTCGGTCCAGTTTCTCGATCTCTGGGTTTCACAGTCTCCGGGTTTTCCGGGTCCAGTTTCTCAGTCTCTGGGTTTTTTGGTCCAGTTTCTCAGTCTCTGGGTTTCTCAGTCCAATTTCTCAGTGTCTGGGTTTCTCACTGTCCTGTATTTTTGTCTCTGCGTTTATCAATGTCTGGTCTCTCAGTCTGTGGGATTCTAGTAAACAGTCTCCAGGTTTCTGAATTTCTTAGCATCCACACTTCTCATGCATTTGGTCCCTTGGTGTCTCTGCCTGAACGCTGTTGGGTGGGATCATTCCCTACATTTACTCCACAAACACTTTCTGTTACAGATGGATGTTTACTGTTTCCTCTTCACGGATATTTTCCTTATCACCAAACCAGTGAAGAAGATAGAGAAGACCAAAGTAATCCGTCAACCATTGTTAGTGGATAAAATAATCTGCAGGGAACTGAGAGATCCCGGTGAGTTTCACCAAAACTCAGAGTATTCCATCGTAGTCCTTTCTTGTACCTTGTAGATCCAGGGAAAGCTTTGGGAAGTCACGGAGGAATTGTTTGCAAAATAATATCCAATATCCGACCTGCTCTTGCACTCACAGTATCGATGCAGCAGTTAAGTTTCTAGGCAGTGGGAGGCTGAACAATGCTGATGCCATTGAATGTTACAAGGTGGTGGATAGACTCTTTCTCCTTGGAGAGGTCAGTGTCTGACACTAGTGCAATGTGAATCTTACTTGTTACATATCAGCCCAAGTGTGAATGTTGTGCACATCTCAATGAATGTGGGCCTGGGCTGCTTCAGCAACCAAGGAATGGAGCTGAATATTTTGCTTGGCGTCAGAATCTATCCTAACATCTTCACTTACAAAGACACGTGTGTTTCAGGACATGTTTAGAGCATGTCAGTCTGTTTATGTGTTTAACATTTAACAATATCCATTCCTAGGCTCCTTCCTGCTGATTTACCTGAATGAGTTCCGCAGTGCAGTTGGTGCCTTTACCTTTCAGGCCAGTGTGACTGCGCAGTCCAGAGCATGGATTGAGGCCATATTCAACGCTCAGGTAATGTGCGACTGATGGGGAGGAGCTCTACCTGCAGGGGGCAGGGCCGGGGAGGCGGGGGGTGACGGGATTCAATTCCTGAGTATACATTGATGCAAATCAAACAGAGAGTGGGTCACCAGTATACTACAGCTATGTAGGAATCTCACAACTGCTCATTACCATATACACTTGTCCTGTGTATTGAAGTGTCAGTAAAGGCTAGTGAGCAGTTACATAGATTGACCTTTGACATTCACAAGGCTGAGTATTCGACATCTTAAAGTAACAACAAAACATTGAACAAATCTTGCACATGTGCCTGACCATCCATTTAAAGCATGCTGATCTAACACACCCCCATTTTATTGAACAAACTAGAACCTTCTGGAGAGATTACGGCACCTGGAGACTGCGCAGAGACAGAGTCAGCTGCCTAATGAAGAAGATGTGGAGAGTGGGATCTCATCAACCCAGTCACCATCTCTTCTACACACTTACACTGACGACATACTTGATTCAGAGAACGTGTAAGTATGGAAACTTATCTCAGCCCCCTTCCTCAGGTTGTTACTGAGATCGGCTCACTCTCAGGGGAGCTTACCCTTCAAGCTGTGTCTGACCTCAGTCTAATGGACAGTAATTACTATCACACTCCAGTATAGGAGGGTGTCATTTATGTCATCCCACTATCTCCTCACACCCCCCCACCGATTTCTCAAATGATTGCAGATTCTGATGCTCCCTTCAAGTCTCCATTTCTATGTAATTCCTGATCTCACTGTTGAAGTTACCTTTTTCCAATTTAAGCTTTAAAATTCGCCAATTTTTAGACTGTCAACAACAGAAATAGAACTTTCTTAATTAATTAAGTTGTATTCATGATCCTGCGAGTTATACATGTTTCCTGCCCTCTTTCTGTCTGTCTTATCTCTCTCTCCCTCTATCTTTGTTCATCTCTCTCTCTCTTGCTCTCTGATGCTCTTTCCCCCTCGTCCTTTTCTCCCATCCCTCTGTCTTTGATTCTCTCCCTTCCATCCACTTTTCTCTGATTCTCAATCTTCTCTTTTTCAGCAACTTTCTCTCTCTTTCTTAGCCTGTCTCTTTTATCCTTGTGCCTCTGTTTTCCCCATCACCCTCTCTCTTTTCCCATCACACTCTCTTTTCCCATCACTCTCTCTTTCCCCATTTCTCTCTCTCTTTCTTTCCCTGTCACTTTCTCTCTTTCTCCGTCACTCTTTTTTTCCCCAAGTTTCTCTCTCTCTCGCCCCATCCCTCTCTCTGTCTCGCCCCATCTCTCTTTCCCCATCTCTGTCTCTCTCCTTCCCCATCTCTTGCACTCTCTTTTCCCCATCTCTCTATCTCTCCATCTCTCTCTTTCCCTGTCTCTCTCTCTCTTTCCCTCGCTCTCTTTTTCCCCACCTCTCTCTCTTCCCCCATCTTTATCTTGTCCTGTCCCTCTCTCTGTATCTCGCTTGCCCCATTTTTCTCTCTCTCTCACACACGCCATTTCTCTCTTGCCCCATCCCTCTTTCTGTCTCTGTATCTCTCTTGCCCCATCTCTTTCTCACCCCATTTCTCTCTTGCCCCATCCCTCTTTCTGTCTCTGTATCTCTCTTGCCCCATTTTTCTCTCTCTCTCACACACCCCATTTCTCTCTTCCCCCATTCCTCTTTCTGTCTCTGTATATCTCTTGCCCCATATCTCTCTCACCCCGTTTTTCTCATGCCCCATCCCTCTTTCTGTCTCTTATTCCATCTCTCTCTGTCTCTCTCTTGCCCTGTCTCTTCCTTGTTTTATTCATCTATTTGTCTGTTGCTTGCAGTCATTCAGACCGTGTGCCAGAGAGAGTCGCGGTAATGATTGATGTGAATGAAGATCTCTCCTCGCCTGACACAGAAAGAGCCACCTCTCAGTCCGACGATGCCTCATTCCGGAGTACAGGTTCCTCCAGCCCCCCGAGCCACTGCGATGGGGTCACCCCCTCAGGCCTCTCGATTCCCAGCACCAGAAGCCAGCTGCTGAAGGCTGATGCCTCCCGCTCAGCCTCCGTGGACAGCGCGTATGGCACCTTGTCGCCGAGCTCCGTGCAAGAGTTTGAGCGGCAGCGGCAGGAGTCCGCGGATGACGATGATGATGGCGAGTTGACTCCCTGCCAGAGACCAGCCTCGCCGCCGGTTCACTGCCAGAGCCTGCAGCAGCCCCTGTCTCTCAAACTCAATAACCTCAAATCAAAGTCAGAGACCAACCTTCATCAGCTTGTTTCCCCAGAACCCTGCGTTTGGAGTCAGTCGCCCCTGAGTAAGAGCCTGACTAAACTCTGTGTGCCCACTGAAGGAGGACCAGTCCAGCTCCATGCAGTATCCAGTGAGACCATGCTCCCTGCTCCTTATTCTTCCACAACCACCAAAGTGATGGAGGTTCTCAAACGGGCAGAGGCTCAACAGCGGAGGACGGGCCCAGGCCCCAGCTCCCTCGGGATGGCTGTGGACACCAGTGACAGTGAGCTGTCTGAGGAGGGGGAGCTGAACTGTGTGGCACCCCCTGTAGATGCACCACGTTTGGAGCCAGGCTCCGAGCCCTGCGTGTTGTCACCCTCCGACACGGAGACTGAGCGTAACTCTCTGTCTGGTACAGACGAACAACTCGTGGACCCTCCCGGCCAGGCCGGTGGGCAGCTGAGCAACAGCAGTCTATCGGAACTTTCCAAACGGACAATGTCGGGCCCTCAGGCCAGGCAGCATCGCAAACTGACCCTGGCTGAACTGTACAGAATGCGGACCAGCCTGCTGCTAAACTCCACACTGACTGCATCGTACGTCGCTGTATGCTGAGGGGCTGAGGGGTGGAAGGAGTCTGGAGACGGAGTTTGAGTGGGAGTTTATAGCTGAGGAAGCAATGGGGGGAGAGGTGGAATGGGGGTGGTGGTGAGAAGGGGCTGGGAATGGGGTTAAAGGTAGCAAGAACTGAAGGGAGGTGGGGGCAATATCACTGAATTTCTTTTATTCCTGTGGCCACTCAGTAAGTCCTCTTTCCAAGTACTGTGTCTGCTCTCTAATGTCAGTGTTTGTAGGTATTAAACCCTGTAAACCAGACTAGTTCTTTCCAATCCCTGATCCATCAGTACATCCATCTCCCCTTAGGATTGGGAACACAGTTGGCCTCAGTGCCCCTGGGTCAGTCCAAAAGGCGTGAGTGGCCCAATGGATATCAATCCAGAGGTGGCTGCTGGAAAATGAGCAATGAGCACAGGGACATAAGTGGCTGTGGTGCCTTCAATGTCAAACAGTCTGTACAAACTGACTGTACGAGCACACGTACTTGGACTGCTGCTGTGTTAGGTGCTAGAGAGCAAAGCAATGGCAATCTTATCATTTTTAAATTTCAGCATTTCCTCGGTGATTTTATTTTAAATACATGTTCGTTCATAGGCTGTAGGTGTCACAGGCAAGTAATTGTTTCTGGTCTCTAATTTCCCTTCAGCTGATGGTGAGCCACCTTCTTGAACTGCTGAGTTCATGTGATATAAGCACACACCCCACCCCCGCCACCACACTGTGCTTTTAGGGAGCAAGTTCCAGGATTTTGACCCAGCGACACTGAAGGGCGGTAATATATATCCAGGTCAAGGTTGTGTGTGACTGGCAGGGAAACCTGCAGGTGCCAGTACTCCCATGTATCTGCCCTTGTCCTTCTGGGTGACAGAGGTCACAGATTCGAACTGATGTCTGATAAGGTACCACATATTGATAAGACCCCATGACATTTGGGGATTGGCTAACTATTAGAAGACAGAGTTGGATAAAAGAGATATTTTCAGGATGGCTAAAGGGTAGGTAATAGATTGCCACTAGCATCAGTGCTGGGACTGCAAGTATTATAATTAATATTCATGGCTTAGATGAAGAAAATAAACTTTGAGTTTGACACAAAAATCAGTGGGAGGGCAAGTAGTGAGGAAGACAGCAAAGGTCTAAAGAGGGACATAAACAGGTTAAGTGAATGGGCAAAAAGAGACTTGGCGTGGGGTAATACAGAATGGAAACAGGCCCTTCGGCCCAACTTGTCCAGATTGACCAGATTTCCTAAACTGAACTAGTCCCATTTGCCTGTGTTTGGCCCATATCCCTGTAAGCCTTTCATATTCATGTACCCATCCAGGTGTCTTTTAAATATTGTAATTGTAACCACCTCTACCACTTCCTCTGGCAGCTCATTCCATACTCGCACTACTCTCTGGGTGAAAAAGTTGCCCCTCAGGTCCCTTTTAAATCATTCCCCTCTGGGAAAATGTGAGGTTTCGCACTTTGGCAGGAAAAATAGAAGAGCTGAATATTTAAGTTAAAGAATGACTGCAGAAACCTGCAGCACAAAGGGATTCAGGGCCCTCATGCATGAATCACATAAAGTTTGCATACAGATTCAATAGGTAATTGGGGAGGCAGATTGAAAGTTTGACCTTTATTTCAAAGGGAACGGTATATAGAAGTCTGAAGACTTGCTAAGAATATGCAAGGTTCTAGTTACACCACATCTCAAATACTGTGAATAATTTTGGTCTCTTATGGAATTGGAGGCAGTCCAGAGAAGGTTCATTAGGTTGATCCCAGGGATTTTCTTATGAGGAGAAATTGATTAGGTTGGGCCTGTACTTATTGAAGTTTAGCAAAATGAGAGGTGACCTTATTGAAACAGAAGATTCTTGGGGTTTCTCGATAGAGTGGAAGCCAAGAGGCATTTCTTCTTGCGGGAGAGTCTGGGACCAGAGGGCATTATCTCAGAGTAAGGGATCACCTATTTAAGACAGAGATGAGATGGAATTCTTTTCTCTTAGAGGGTGATGAATCTGTGGAATTCTTTACCACAAAGGACTGTAGAAAATGGCTGAGATAGAAATGTATCTCTCAGTAAGGAAACCAGTATGGGGATAAGGCAGGTCAGTGGATGGTAGAACAGACATGATGGCTGAATGGTCTACCTCTGCGCCTATGTCTCTTGGTCTTATGGTCTTATTTGGGAAGTGTTGCTAAAGAAGGCTTGGTGAATTGCTGCAGTGCCTCTTGTAGATGGTACACATTGCAGAACTGTGCACTGACAGTGAAGATGGCAGATGGTGTACTGATCAAGCAGATTGCTTTTTCCCAAAAGTGCCAAGTTTCCATGAGTACTGTTGGAGCTGAACTCATCCAGGCAGTGGAAAGTATTCAGTCATATTCCTGACCTTGCCTTATGGATAGTGGACCAAAGCTTTGGACAGTCTGGAGATGAGTCACTCATTGCAGAATGCTGGTCCAGCTAAGCTTCTGGTCGATAGTTGACCTCTCAAATCTTGAAGATGAGGATTTACTGGAGGCCTGTTACCAGTGGTGTTCCGCAGGGACTGGTGCTGGGTCCACTTTTATTTGTTATTTATATCAATGATTTGGATGAGAAGTTAGGAGGCATGGTTAGGAAATTTGCGGATGACACCAAAATTGGTGGCATAGTTAACAGCGCAAAAGGTAATCTAGGATTACAATGGGATCTTGATCAATTGGGCCAGTGGGCTGAGGTGTGGCAAATGGAGTTTAATTTGGATAAATGTAAGGTATTGCATTTTAGTAAAGTGAACAAGGGCAGGACTTATACAGTTAATGCTAGGGGCATAGGTAATGTTTGGTTCTTTGAAAGTTGCATCATGAATAGACAGGGTGGTTAAGAAGGCATTTGGCACACTTGCCTTCGTTGCTGAGACCATTGAGTATAGGAGTTGCGACATCATGTTGAGGTGAGGCCACTTCTGGAGTACTGTGTGAAGTTCTGGTCATGCTGCTATAGGATGAATATTATTACATTGGAGAGGGTGCAGAAAAGATTTACATAGATGTTACCGGGACTGGAGGATTTGAGTTATGAGGAGAGGGTGGATAGGCTGGGACAGTTTTCACTGGAATGTAGGAGGTTGAGGGGTGACCTTATAGAGATTTATAAAATCATGAGGGGCATAGATAAGGTGAATAGCAAAGGTCTTTTCCCCAGGGTGGGGGAGTTCAAAGCTAGGAGGCATATTTTTACGGTGAGATGAAAAAGATCAGCTTTTTCACACAGAGGGTGGTTCTTATGTGGAATGAACTGCCAGAGGAAGTGGTAGATGCAGTTATAGTTAGGACATTTGAAAGACATTTCGACGAGTACATGAATAGGAAAGGTTCAGAGGGATATGGGCCATATGCAGGCAAAAGAGACAAGTTTAGTGTGAAACTTGGCCAGCATGGACGAGTTGGACCAAAGGGTCTGTTTCCGTGCTGTATGACTGCATGACACTGATATCAATGCCATTAAAGGTCATGTGCAGACGGTTAGATTCTTTCTCATTGGAGATCATAATCATCTGACACAAATCTTTCTGACATCGGCTGGAGAATATCATGAGCAGAGGCTAAATCGTGTGGCTGAGCAAGCACAGCAGCAAACATAGTAATAAGCAAACTAACCAGCAGGCCTCCCACTAAACACCCGCCTCCCTAAAGTGGTTTTCCCAACCTATGCCCAAGTTGTCTTTCTCCCTGCATGCACTGGTGTCTTTGCCCAAAAAGCTGTCTTTTCTCTTTTACCATACATTGAGCCTCACCCCTGCAGTATGTTAGCTCCCACCAATTTGCTCCTGTCGCCATCCCCATGCCTTGGATATCATTCTCCACTCCTGAGTATCTTTCACATGTCACTCTGGTTCATATTCCCCTGATATAAATCTCCTGCCCTATCACCCACTTACCCTGACATCTACTCCCATCACTCAGTGTCTACATCTTCCCCTGCAGAAATCTCCCCTCTTTTCTCTGCCCCTCCCCAACACAGACAGACAGACAGACAGACACACACACACACACACAAAAACACACACACTGACATACAAAAGTGCACACACACACACATACAGACAGACACCGACACACAAAAAAACACGCGTGCACACACACAGACACACACACACAAAAACACACACACATGCACATATACATACAGACAGACACCAACACACAAAAACACACGTGTGCACACACACAGACACATACAGAGACAGACACCGACATACATAAACACAAACAGACACAAATACACACATGTACACACACACAGACGCACAGAGACATACACACAGAGACAGACACCGACACACAAAAACACATAGACACACACACACAGACACACACACACACAGAGGCTCACAAACACAGACAGGCACGCACACAGACAGGCACATACAGACACACACACACAAAGACATGCACAAACAGGCGCAGATGCACACACACACACAAACAAAATATCTTGCTCCTCAGTTGTCTCCCCCTAGATGTGTCTCTGAACTCCATGATCTCCCTCCAACAGGTGTTTTCATCCAAACCCCCCAATCTCTTTTTCTCTTCTCCTGTATTGACATGGGGCTTCGGCCCTCCAGTCTTTTGCCCTGTCTCTCTGTCTCTCTCTCTCCCCCTCAGTGATATCCCCCTCCCCAGGTTTCAACGCCCCCTTCCCAGATGCTCTTTCCACCCCCTCCCCAGGTATCCCCCTGTCCCCACAGATGCCTCTCACACTCTGCCCTCCACCACCACCAGGTCCAAATGCCATCCCTTCTTCCCAGTGTGTCTTCCTCCCTGCAGGGGTCAATCCTGCCTTTTCCTCCCCCCCACACCCTCTTCCCGCCAGCCCCCTTTCCTGTTGTAAGTGCCTTCCATCCTGCTTATTCTTCTGAAGATTTTATGTTATAAGTTGGGACAGAAACATGTTATAAACTTACAGCACCAAAAGGGACAATGTGACCCATTGAGCCTCTGTTGATTTACTGAACTGTCTATGTAATTGGTCCTGTTCTACGGCTCTTTCCATATAACCCTGCAAATGTCTCATTTTTAAGTGTGTGATATTGAGATGTTCTAATTTATTCTGAACAATCTCTTTGCTCCATTAACAGGGAAGTGTAGCCTTGCATTGGGCATGAGCAATGGGGCTTGGCTGGAACTCAAATGGACGGAAAGGCATGGAACGTGAACTTTGACCTTCTGAGGCGCCACCATCATGATCCATGGAGCATTCCTGCACGTGCTCAGAAAGGAGCTGAGAGTTCTGTCAATGCTTGTGGACATGTTACAGAATCAGTGTGGAGAGCAGGCAATGAATGAACGTGGATGTAGAGCTATGGGAGTGAGGAATGTGTGTGTCAAGCTGATGACCTGTCCCAACATTCGCTCTTATGAGAATTAAAAATGCACCATAACATTTTAATGTATAAAACATCATCCAGCTACCAGCGGTATCTGGGCTGCCTGTTGTATGTGGCAAAGAAAAGAAACTGAAAGTTTGAGTCCTTTTTCTGTTTCCATCTCTTTCCTCTCCTTCTGTTGATCTCTCTAAGCTCCCTGTCCTCTCCAGCCTCCTTCTCTTCTCCCTGTCCTTACTCCTCATCTTCTTCCCTCTTGACTTTTCTCCCCTCTCCACTACTGTCTCCTGTCCTCTCTCCTCCACTCTGTTGTCCCCAAGGGTCTCTCCCTCATCCCACTCCTCACTTGCTTCCAGAGAAGCCACATGACTGAGTAAGGAATGGCACGGGCCAGCATGCGACTTTGTTAACTGTGAGTCTATTGGTCTGTCCACTGGTCATGGGGTTGGTAGAGACCAAGGAGCGAGCCAGTGTCCCCAGTCTAATGGAGAAAGAGATGCTGATGCAGCAGATTGAAACTGCACAGGGCATCATGTCAGGTACTACGTGGCTGGCTTCATTGTCAGTCTGTGGTGAGTTAGCTGATCTGAGCTGGGTGGCCTGAGGGTGGGCAAAATGTTAGGGGGCTGGTTTGCAATCATCAATGAGCCCCCCTCCCCCCAACCCCCCGGTGTTAGGCAATGGAAAATTCAGCCAGGGTTCATGAACCATCCAGTGGCATGTTCACACCTGTGTGGATTTGTACAGGGTCTCAATCACTGTCCGAGCCCACACAAGGAAACTTCTCCACACAGATTTCAAACTCTAAGTTATTCCAAGAATCTCCCACTGTCAGCTTCCCACTTGTGTACTGAGCCGCTCCCAGAATGAAAGCCCCCTCACCAAACTGTTAACTCCTGAACATGGTGAAGACAAAAAGGACTTGGATAGTGGAGAACATTTCCTCTTGTCGGTCTGCAGTTGCTGTTTGCTTCCCTTAAACCTGCAATATTGTTTTTTCCCCTTAATAATGTATAAAGTTTCATATTTATTAAGCTTTTGTGTTTATTTTATGTGTTTGTATACTAGCCATTGCATTTTGTGTTGAACTTTTTTCATCATCCTCAACACCAACCATTTTCACTGCCTCCTATTATAAAGTCTGTCACTACTGTCTAAATGTATCTTTCTCTGTCTCTCTCCGACTCCTTCTATTTCTCTCCCCTTTCCATATTTTTGTCTCTTTCTCTTCCAATCTCTGAGTTTCTCTTACACTTTCCCCTATCTCTGTAGCTGTTAATTGTTCAACATTTCCTTCTCTCGTTTCTCCTGATTGACTGTCGCAGTCTCTGTTACTCCTCTCTGTGTTTGTGTGTATGTTTTCTCCTGTCTGTTTATCTGCTGTCAGGCATTAACTTCGTCACTCTACCCATCCCCATCTCAGTCTTTCTCTCTATTCTTGTCTGTCAGTGTCTCTGCTTCTCTCAGTCTATCATTACCATGGTCTCTCTCCATTCTTTCTCTCTCTCTCTCTCTTTCTCTCTCTCTGTCACAGTCTCTGGTCTTTTTAGATATCTCTGTGGTTCTGCCTGTTCCTGTCTCCTCCCCCTCACCCACTGCCTGTTTCACAATCTCATTTGAATCTTAAAAAGCCATTTTTATCAGAAAACCAGTGTTCTGAGGATTGTGTTTGTGTGCCGAATTGACAAACGGCTTCACTTAGATTTTGAGAATCAGCTCAAGGCTGAAGCTGGAGCTCAGTACCATGGGGACTGGTATAGGAACCAGGAGGAGCGGCTGGGTGTGGATCTGCATTGGGGTGAGTTATCAAGGCTGATTAAGGAGCAGGAACTAGAGAAACAATTTTAAACATAGTTGAGGTTGCTGTTGGAGTCTTTGGTTTACGTGTAAAACTGGCAAAATAATTTTTATCACTTAGATTCATTTTTAATTTTTCCATTGAGTTTTACAAAGTGCAACTTTATCCCATTAATTGCTGGCTGGTAAGAGTCAGGCAGCAATGCACTCAAAGCTTGGTCGGGCTTTTTCTGTCCATTTTGCCTCCCTGAAGTCTGCAAATTTTGCAACAAGGTGCTCTGACAATGATTTATACACAACCATGTGAACCACTCATAAACACGGGAGGCTTTCTCAAAAGGTCGGTTCCTTAAACTTGTTGCCTTATTACTTTTACTTTTCAATGGGGTTTGGCTTGTGATTTAAGTGATTTAATGTTGATGTAAGGAATCAAATCAATGCAGTAATCACAGGTTTAAAATATGGAGACCAGGCAGAATTCTTATCTCCAGGCAACGCAAGTACTGAACTTTGTAACTCCTTTGAAAATGACCTGTTTTCATATCTGGCAGGATGCGGAGCAGGCTGAAGTTATTGGGCTAAGCTACAGAACCGTAAATACTCCATGGGGCTCCATTTCTCACGGAAATGACAGCTGGAGTATTTGACTCAAACAGTTGCATTCAGAGACATCAATTTGTTTCAAAATCAGAAATCCCAGAGTTTATTACTTACGGTAATTAAATGAGTGAAACCTCATTGTGCTGACCTAAGTCTATTCTTGATGCCAATCTGGAAACCACATTCGCTCTGTTCTCAGAAGCCCTAGTGAAAGCGAACTGGTTAAATGATCACATTGACAGCAAACTGACTGTGTGAAATTGGGCCCTTGTGGTTCACTACTTCCAACCCAAATTGGGTCATATTGGTTTATTGAGAGCATGGTGACAAGAACTGGGGTTGGTGCAGGCCACAGTAATGGTCCAAGTCTGAGGAGAGGGCCCTACTGATCTGAGTGAAAGATCTCTGTCTCTGGCTAGCTGTGAGCAGACTCTTGACTAGGGCCAAATGAACAAGCCTCTGTACAGGTCTGAGTCTGAGGAAAGGTCTTTGTCCCAGACTGGATACATAAATATGCCCTCAGTCTATTTGGTTTCAGGCTTGGCAATGTCTCAGGTTAGGTGTGAGGACAGTGAAATAACTCCACAGAGGCCAGTATTCCATCACCACATCACCCTTCATTTACATGAGCACAATACATGACACTGACCCAGCTAACACAGAGCTGGCTCCTAGAGTGAGCAGAACCTCTGACACTTCTGTCAATATCTGTCAGCCAGGGCTCCCTGATTGGACCAGGTTAACAGCCCCATTCACGGAACTCATATTCTATGAGGTTGACCTGTCTGACCTCATTCCAATCACTGCATCTCTCCCCCTCTAAGTCCAAGACATACGCCTGATCTTTTTTCTTGTAGCTTCTCCTGGGGTGTTTTCACACAGGTCTGGTTTCTCTGATTCAGCCTCGGATACTGGTGGCATTTACTGGATCTTAGCCTGGTTCTTGCACCTGGAGTTTCTTTGGGTGATAACGGGGTTGAGACTGCGACATCTGCTGTGTCCACCTCATTGTCAAGAGTTTTCTTCATCGCTAGATCGAGGGGGAGAATGTACAGGTTCCAACAGCCTTTGTAGCTGTTCTGAGGGGCCAGGCATGTTTTGCTGTTGCCCCATTTGCGAGTTTGCAGCTTTTACACAGTCCACGTGCTTGTTCAGGACCGCCTCACCTACCTGAACTTTGTATGTCACGGGACCTGACCTTACACTTACCATGCCTCTTACCCATGCAGGGCCACTTCCATGGTTCCTACACGAAACCTCATTCCCTGAAGTAAATTGTCTCTCTCACTTAGAGGAATTTTGTGTCCAGTATTGGCATTCCTGATACCATTTCACCCTCCCCCCAGGTCTGGGAAGATCAGATTTAACCTGGTGAGGAGTTTTCTCCCCATGAGCAACTCTGCTGGAGCTATCCCTGTAGTTGCATGAGGAATGGTCCTATAATCAAACAGGAACAGGGACAGTTTGGTATCTAGTGAAGCTGAAGACTTCAAAGTTTGGACTGCTGTTTCCGCCAGACCATTGGACGATGGATGGTGTGGAGCTATCCTTACATGCTGAATGCCATTTGACTTTAGGAAATACCTGAATTCCCTACTGGTAGATGATGGCCTGATGTCTGTGACCAACACTTTTGGGAGCCTGTGTATTGCAAACGTTGCTCACAGCTTTTCTATCATTGTCCCCATGTTTGACAAATGAACTCTATGCACGTCCAACCACTTTGAATGTGTATCCACAATGACTAAGAACACTGAGCCCATGAAAGGCCTGGCAATGTCAATGTGTAACCGAGTCCAGGGTTTACCCGGCCATTCCCATGAATGTGAGGGCGCTGCTGACGGTAATTTTTGACCTTGTTGGCACTCTGGGCACTGCCCCACCAACATGACTATGTTGGCATACAATCCTGGTCAATAGACATAACCTCTTGCCAACATCTTCATTTTGGAAACCCATAGATGACCCTGGTGGGTTTCAGCCAGTATCTGGTGGCAACATTTATTCAGAATAATCACTCTTTCTCCCCATTACATTATGCCATCCTGTATGATGATCTGGTCTCACTGGGTCCAGAAAGGTTTCAATCCTGTTTGTGATAGACCTTCTGTTTCCTCCATCAGCACCAGCTGTTTTAGTTTTGCCAGGATGGGATCATTTTGTACTCACAGCCTGATATTGTCAGTGACCGAAAGGGTGTCCAGAAAGTTTCAAACCAGAATGGACTCTTCTAGTGGCGGCACCACCGAGGTGTATCTGCCAGCGAGAGGCAGCTCAAGGCACCTGCATTTGCTACTTGGCCTCCTGGACGGTGTTCCAACTTGTAATTGTACTCACTTAGAATGAGAGCCCAACACCGAGTTTGACCTGAAGCAATGGACAGCATGGCCCGGTCTTCTCTGACTAGCCCTAGCAGGGCTTTGTAGTCTGTTACTATTAAAACTTTACGTCTGTAAAGGTCTCAGTGGAAGTATCTCACACCAAAGATGACCGCCAAACCTTCCTACTCTATCTAGGTGTATCTTCATTTGTCATCAGCCAAAGTCCAGGAAGCATACACTATCAGGCATTCCTCTGTGCTGGGCCACTGAGCAATAATACCCCGATACCGTACGGGGAGGTATCGCATGTCAGCATCAGACCTCGCTTGGGATCGTAGTGGGCCATCTCCTTAGACAATGATAGCTGCCACTTCATTCCCCTAAAGGCTATGTCTTGGCTACGAGGCCATTTCCAATGCTGCCCCTTTTTCAATAGCAGATATAAGGGTGCCAGGGGTGGAGGCCAAGCTACGTATGAACTTCCTGTAATAATTCACCAAATCAAGGAAAGACCTAACCTCTGGTACAGACGTGGGAGCTGGGGCACCTTTGATCGCCCTCACCTCATCTTCCAATGGGTGTACCCTATTCTTATCGACTCTGTAGCTCAAGTAGGTCACTTGAGGTACCTGGAACATACAGATTTCCCTCCTAAGGTGTACCCCAGGTTTTAAGCACCGTGTCGAAGTTCTCTAACTGCACTTTATTGGTCTTCCCAGTTATTAGCACATCACCCAGATAAATGGTGATCTGAGGTAGACCTTGTAAAATGTTCTCCATCATCTGCTGAAAAATGACACAGACTGGTGATACCCTAATTGGCAGTTTCGTATATTGGTACAAATCCTTATGGGTATTAATTGTAGCATACGTGTGGGAATCCTCATCTAACCACAGTTGCAAATATACATGGCTCATGTCCAGCTTCATGAAGAATAGGTCCCCTGCCAGCTTTGCATATAAATCCTCTGTGTGAGGGATTGGGTATTTATCCAGCCGCGAGAAGCAGTTTACCGCTGGTTTAAAATCCCCCACAAAGGCAAACCATCAGACTTCACAATCTATACAACTTGAGCTGCCCATTCCATAAGCTGTACTGTTTTGATGACACCTTCACATTTCTGCCTCTATTTTTGCCCGTGAGTCAAATGGCACTGGGTGGGCCTTGCAGAACCATGGGATTGCTTCAAGTCAACAAGTAAGGTAGCCTTGGCTCCTTTGATACTCCCTAGACATTCCTGAAAAAACTTCCTGGTATTTAATTAGGACCTCACTCAGGCCGACATTTGCTAATTGAAAATGTGCCATTCAAATTGAATCTTTCTCAACCAATTTCACCCCATCAGGCTTGGGCCTGAGCCTTTTACTACAATCAGCGGTAACTGAACCAGCTGCTTCTCATATGAGACCGAAACCAAAGTTGTACCCTTAATCTGTAAACATTCCCCGGTATAGGTTCACAGTCTAGCCAAGGTCTTATGCAAACTTAAGGGTTGGAATCCAGAGCAGATTTTGTGAAAGATTAGCTCTGCAATCACTGAAACAGTTGTGCAGGTATCAACCTCCATTAGAACCAGGTGACCATTTAACCAGACGTTTATTTGGATTGGTTCTGATTTGGAAAGTGCTAAGCAAATTAACTGTTCCAACCCAGATGTAGATGGGCTTTCCAGGGTGTGCACTCTCCTGGATACCGGCCTGTGAGTACTCTTACTCAATTAAGGTCTAGTGGGACTCTTTTTCTGTCTCGAGTCCACATATCCGCAGAAACTACAATGGCTTGCCAGTCCAGACCCTGAAGAAAATGTTAATCATTTGGCTGAGGCTTTGCTTTGTTTTGGGGTTTTGCTGTGTGCTGACCGAGAGTCCCTCTGTTCAGGTTATGTCCTGAATGAGGTTATGCAAGTCCCCCAAGCTCAGTCGGACTGGCGAGCGTGTCCATTCCGTCAAAATAACCTGTAACTCTTAAGCTCCACTTGCCGCATTTTCTAACAACAAAGCCAGTTGTAGTGCCTGTTGGAAGTCCAGTTGGGCTTTAGCTGGTAGGTACTTTTGCACAGTTACATCATTAATCCCACAT